GCAAATATATGTGATATTTAATTATTAAAAATATGAGTGTATATATTATAGGTAATATTTATATTTTCACATCAAGATCAACAAAGAATTATGTCAATATTGACATACCAGAAGTTACTCATTTTATAGATTCATTCAGGTATTAAAATTATTTAAAATCTCTTTGTTACATTAATTATTACTAATTCTTTACTTTTTATTTTAACCATATTTTCAACTATTCATGATCACTTTATTGAAGGAATTTTAATAATATGCATATTGCTCACAATGTTGATGATACAAGATCTACTATTCTTCCTAAGTTAAAAAATTTCAAAAACATATATGAAATCTTGACAATGGCAAAATTAAAGAGTGATATGATAAATTTAATCTCTCTTATACTTTGTTCTTCTTATTTAATTTTTAAACTAATTTTTTAATTAATTTTCAAAATGTCATAATTGGTTGTATTACAACTGTGAACGATGTAATGCTTAAAAATAGTTTGTATTATATTTCTTTTCCATATTACAAGAAGAAAGTTTCTTTCACAATTACAAATTTTAAATGTGAATTATGTTATAAAGACGTTGAGTATCAATGACAAGGTAATTAATTTATCACTATATATTCTAATTTTTAAATTTTCATATTAAAATAAATTGAATTATATATTATGACCTTAATTTATATATATTACAGGTTTTGTCTTGAGCTTGATGTTAAATATTCCACGGATTCAACTATATTTGTCTTATTTGATGAAGTTGTTGAACAATTAGCATAAGTAAAGTTAAAAGATCTTATTGTAACATCTGAAATTGTAAATAAATGTGTTAATTTCTAACTTCCTAAAAAATCTAATCAAATAATTGATTATATAAATAAAATATATTAAAACATACAATTATTTTTATGTGATAATTTTTTTAAAGGTGATGGTGATGTGTAAAAGTTGTCTCCACAACTTTTAAAGATTATTGGCACTTCATATATTGTTCAAATAAAAATGAGTACTTGCTTTAAAAGTCCTAGAAGATAAAGTTTCACTGTAAATAAAATTGTGAAGTCGATAGTGAAAGTAATATATAAGATTAAATTGAAGTTTCATCACTTTCATTTATAATGTTTATAATACAATGATGAATAACTTTATTTTCATTGTTTGATATTTTCAAATTGAGAAGGAAGAAAATTTAGACAATACAAATGTAAAAATAAAAGAAAATAATTTGGCAATAAGTTGTTCACCTATATCCTCTAACCACGGAAATACCAAATTTACTTAAAAGAAAGAGAAAATTAATGTATAAATTATAAATTTATAATGTATTGTTCAAATTTTTTAGATTAGTAATTTATATTTGATATTTTCTTTTAGGTTGCGACTTGAGGAGGATGAAGTAAAAAAATGATGAACAAAAGGCAATAATGGAAGGTTTAGAAAATTGAATCATTTTTATTGCAGTATTGCATAAATACTTTTAATATTATGTAGAATCTAAAAAGTAAAATGTCACAAAACATTGTTCTTAGACAAATCTTATAAGTGATTCATTAATTTTATATTATATCAACATTTGTAAATTTAATTAATATAAAGATTAATTTTTATATTAAATACAACAATTCTTCTCTTTTAGTTTTTACCTAAATCTTAATTAAAAAATTTTAACTACTCTTTTTTTCTCTTTTTCTATTATTTTAATTTTTTTAGAAAATAATTTAATAGGAATTGATATATCATAATTATGTATAACCTATTAACATAAATAATATTTTATTTATATTTTATATTATAATAATTATGAAGACAAATTTTATTTTTAAAATTAAAAAATTAACAATATTTATACGTAATGATTTTGTTGCAATATTTTTTTTTATAAAATGTTATAATGATGATGATAAATTTAAAATTCTTCAATTAAAACTAATTAATTATAATAATTAAAATAAATTAAAAATTATTAACTATCATAACAATGAAAATGAATATGATTTAACTGTTCTATTTTCATATTTAATAATTTTATATTATAATGAATGAATAAGTCAAGAAAATATAACGTTTTAACTTTGAATTAAGTTCAAATGTTATATTTAATTTCTATATATATCATTTGTTTTAAAATTTTATAAGTATGAAGTCTAAATCTTTATAACTATTAAAAGACTTTAATTCTAAGAAAAATAAAAGTTAGTATTTAAAATGTTATAAAAATATTTTTTATATTAACATATCAAATTATATTTATTTATTAAAATTTCATATTCTAACTATATGATTAATCAAAATTTTCAGATTGGAATATAAATTTTAATGCTTTTGAAAATATTTATGATAACATTCAATTACAAATACAAATAAAAGTGCTTCCTAATGAAAAAATTTAGTTATTTTGTGAACTTACAATTAGTTTCTAAATATAAATTAAAATACACATATTATATATAAAAATATAAAATCAGTACAAATATTTTTTATTAATATAATTATTTATTATGTTATATTCTTAAAATTATATATTTTTATTTAAAAAAATAAATCAAGTTCACTGAATATTGACCTCTTAGAACTAGGTAATATATCATAGAGATAGATAAAAAATATATCTGAAAATAAAAATTAAATCTCTAATTCACCATATTTGCTTCAAAATGGTTAAAACATATCTATTTTTGTTAATAGTAATATAATATTTTAGTATATTTATATTAAAGTTATATTTATATATCTTTAAAATATTTAGAAACCTAATAATAATATTTTTTTTATACTTTTTTCTAGTTCAATCTATATGTTTCTTTTTATATAGTATTTTAAATTTTTATTTAAATTAATATTTATTCTTTTAATAAAATCTTTAAAATATTATTTTATCATTAAATTAGTTTATAGATATATTTATTTTTATTAATTCTTAATTAAAATGATAAATAATAAACAAACTGTATTAATTATTTTTAAAATAAAAAACAATTATATAAAAAATTAATAAATTTTTTGTTTTAATTTTATAACCTAAATAACATAATTTTATTATACTTAATTAGTTATTTAATAAAATTAATTTATTTATAATGTCAATCAACATTAATTTTATTAAGTTATCAAAAAAATATAAAATAATTTAATCATTTAAAAGAAACTCAATTCTATATTTTTTTTTATCAAAAAATAAACTTTTAAATTCGATATATATATTACACTATTATTAATTTTTATTTACAATATTTTTTATGGTAATTTTATTTATATATAAAAAGTTTAATATATTTTTATTTTTTAATATTAACATATAGTTTTATGTATATTGATATTTAAAGCAAATTTTTAAAATTTCATACATTAGTTGAATAAATATTTTATTTTTTATATATTAGTCTAATAAGTTATTTTTAAAAAATATAATATCATGTTTTAATAATTATATAGTAAAATTTTATTAATAATTTAAAATTATAATTATAAATAGATAGTTTATCATATAAATTTAATTCAACAAATATAAAAAAATATATAAATAAAAATTATAAAGCTTTTTATTTAAATTTTATAACTTATATTAAAAATTTATTATATTTAATAATTTATTGTTATAATTATTTATTTAAAATTTTATAATAACCAATGATTTATGATATCATAAAATAATATAAATTTTATTTACATTTTAAAAATAAGATATTTGTATACTATTTTATTTTTTACTAAGAAATACTAAATTATACATATTTTAAATAATTTTAAATAATAATTTTTTTTGACAAATAATTTTTTTTATTATATTTATATAATTTTATATTTAAATTATATATTTTATATTTTAAAATAAATTAATTTAATAAAAAAAATAAACTTTGCAACACACGAGCATATTTTTTAGTTTTATTGTAATGGTTAGTTCTCTCCCTATTAATGTGACTCACTCATTGTCACATTATTCTTATTGGTGTTGTCTTTAATAAACTATCTAATAAATATTTTATATTTATCTTATTAAGAATGATCATACATTTCATTATTTGACTCTATTAAGAAACTTATAAATATTACTTTTATTACATAAGGATGACAAATTTCATCTAAATCCCTCACACTCTTTTACATTATTTATTTTATATTCAACCTCCAACTTTCATAAGTAAACATACATGAATACTCATTGATTTTGTTGTAATGGTTAGACCTCTCCCCAATAATGTGGCTCATTTACTACAACATCATTTTTATTGGAGTTGTCTCTAATAAATTACATAATAAATGACTTTTAACGGATGAAGTGATACAACTAAATTATTTGCATAAGGTGCATATAAAAAATCCTTGATAATTAAACAAACATTTTTAATATTTTACCCAAAAAGTAAAGTAAAATTAAATTACTAATTGATGGATGAATAACGCATCATTTAAAATTTAAAAAGTACAATTATTTCTCATTAATACAAAGAAAAATTAAATATTAAAAAAATCATTTACTTCGAGAAGTGGTTGCCAGCTAAGTAACCACTGTATGTCAATAAGTTATGATTATAGAACACCTGGTTTGTTAAAACCAGGTGTTTTCTGACACGCACACGGATATAGTCCTTATTTTCTCCTTTATAAACCGTGCATCCCAAGTTGATTTTACAAATCACCAAACTCAAAAGAAAAGAAAGCAATCAAGAGGTTAGTGACTTACTCTTACATCTTGTTAATTTATTTTTTTATTTAATTTTTATTTAATTTTAAGATTTTATAGATATTTTCACAGGCGCCATACCTATGTGTTTATTATCACTTCTTTTTTTTGTGATTTTTGTATAAAATATTTTTTCTTCTATAACTATATAAATAGTAAGGGTATTTTATATATTATTTTTAGTTTGAGTGGCAATAAACGTTTAGGTGTGACAATAAACATTTTCGTTTTCACAGATATTTGATGAGTTTTTTCAATTGCTTTAACTCAATTATATGCTTGATTTATGGTGAAATTGTGGAACAACCAAAGATCTTTGAACAAATGGCCTTGAAACGGATCAACAAGGAATTGAAGGATGTGCTCACAGATCCTCCTTCATCTTGCAATGCTGGTAATTTCTACACTCTTTATTGTGCAACATTTCATGTTTCTAAAGAAGATCTTTTACTATTTAAATACAAATTACTCAAAACTTGATCTATGAAATGGGTTTTCAATGTCAGGCCCAACCAGTGATGACATGTTCCGTTGGCAAGCTTCTATTGTGGGTCCCGCAGATAGTCCATATGCTGGTGGTGTGTTTCTCGTGTCAATTCACTTCCCTCAAGACTATCCTTTCAAGCCACCCAAGGTAATCCCAAACCACACTTTATGAAACTTGTGTTGTTTCGATACACCTCTTTATGCATATTTTGTGCTGAAGAATTTGGATGGTTTAGGAGAAACATGGTGATCTATGGTTTTGTTTTGTAAAGTTCTCTTCAATTGGTGATTGATTTCGTAGTTTTGAGCTAATATAGTCTTGATTGTCATTTCTTGAATTATTTATTGTTACTATAATTGACTCATCAAATGTTTGTAATTGGTTTTTCTCTTTTCCTTTCCTTGTTATTTGATATTGGGGGAGTCAACATCATGACATAAATCTAACCTTTAAACCCAATCTTTCAAATATTAAAGCTATCAAAGCTTTTTGTATTAATTCCTTATCATGATATCAAGGTTTCATTCCGCACAAAGGTTTACCACCCTAACATCAACAGCAGTGGAAGCATTTGCCTTGACATTCTCAAAGACCAATGGAGCCCAGCTCTCACAATTTCCAAGGTATTTTTCTCTTTGGAAATATCAATATATCACTTTTGTCATGATTAATTTTTTTATTATTTTTTACTATTTTCAAGATTCATATTAGAATGAACCATTGTTTATAAATGATTGAAGTAACTCACAGAGGGTATTTCCTTTCTAACCCAAATTGAGCAAAACAACAACTTTTGTTTCAAAATATTATATGATTGATTTAGTATACTAAAATATTCTAATGAGACACTAAGATAATGGCACATTTTGCAGGTTCTCCTTTCGATATGTTCTCTGTTAACAGATCCAAACCCAGATGATCCACTGGTGCCTGAGATTGCTCGTATGTACAAAACTGACAAGGCCAAGTATGAGGCTACTGCTCGAGCCTGGACCCAGAAATATGCCACAGGCTAAGGGGTCACAGTCAAAGTGCAAGCATCTTCTATATTACCTACCAAACTTATGAATAAATAAAGTTGAATGGACCTGAAACTCTAGTTTGGTTAGTGTTTTATTGATTTATGGTATTGTAAAAATGGTATATGGCACTTCGTAATATTAAGTTAATGGATGGAAGTGTTCATTTATTCTTGTGTGGTTTTCATTGAAGCCCTTTGTTCTTGTCATTATGCATATTTCTTTTTCTCTAAATTGGTTATGCAATGGCTATGAAAATACCACAGCACCATGAAAAGGGGGAAAAAATTAGGACTCCTTTGGTGTAGAATAGAAAATTAGAGGATAAAGAGTTCAATAAATATAGGATATGACGGCTTATGACGTGTATTGGGATAGTACAACCAATAATTCTGTTTAATGTTTGAAATAAATTAAAATTAATAAAATAAGATAGAAATTATATATTATAAATTTTTTACTTTTAAATAAAAATATATATTATAAATTAAAAGTACTTTTGTGTACATATAATATTTAAATTTTGATATTAAATTATAATAATGTTTTTCAATTTTTTATAATTAAAACAAAATGAATTATAAAAAATTTAAAACTATATTTTATAAAATAAATTAAATATTTTTTAAAAAATATTAAAACTATATTTTTAAATAATTATTTTTTATAAGATATAAAAAGAGTATAATATAAAAATAAAAAGATAATATTTTTAAAAAAATTATCTTATTCTTATGATTTTTGAACCATCACTCTCTCCCTTTTTAAAATAAGAATTTAAATTACGAGGATAGAAAATAAATTAGATTAAAATAAACTATTATATATTGTTCTTTTATTATGACTACTAAACGAGCCTTCAAATTTATATAATTTAAGGTGATAAAAAATATTTTATGTAATTAGCATGAAAATTTGTATTAATTACCAAAATGTTGAAATCTAAGTTTATAACTTAAAACTAAATCTTTTGCATCCCTTAATGGTCTTATTGATTAACTGTGTCATGGTTGTATAACTAATAAATTGAATTTAATTATTAATTAATAATTTTAAATTGTTTAAGAGTCTATTTAAAAGAACTTACAGATAAGAAATAACAGAACTCTCATAAACATTTTTTTAACTTATTTTGATTATTTTTATATAATTTATTAAAATAAATTGATTTTAATTTATTCCAATAATTTTTATGATTAAATTTATAGAATAAGTCATCATATACAAATATTATTAAATAAGCATTAATTAAGCAATATGGAACGCATATATATATATATATATATATTATTTATACATATTTAAGTAATTAATAATAATAGTAATAATAATAATAATAAATTTAGGCCCATGTTTATGAGCCTATGCTGAGATGTCTTGACAAATATTGAAACATGGTTAGGAATGGATCAGTTATTTAAAATTCAAATGTCTTTTTACTGTTCAAACTTCAATGTTAGGTAAACGACCAGCATCCCATCATATAACAAATATTACTTTACTAGCCTCTGCGATATGCATTGGTACTTTATTTTCGAATAATACATATAATTTAATAATTAAAAAATAAAAGTAAATAAATTTAATAATAAATAATTTTAAAATATAATTTTTTAAAAATAATATTTTTATTGTATAGTGTCAAAAAAAATTATTTAAATATTAATAATCAATATATATATTAATAACCATAAATTTAAGAGATAAGAGTCTTGAAAGTATACTATAAATTTTAACAATAAAAAATTAAGATAATTTTTACAAAATGTAAAAATAGGTATTTACAAAGAAAAATATAAAAACCTATATAAGTAAATTAAGAAAAGTTAAGTAATAACTTTAAATTTCAAAATTTAAAATGGAATTAATAAAGATATGGGTACAAAGTAAAACTATTGCAGTAAGAGAAAGAATAATCCACACTATCATTTTCAATCAAATTTCATCTTAAAATGTAAACATAAAAAAATAAGAAAAAGAACAACTTTTCTGATGCTTATTTTTTTAAATAGTAAACTTTCGCTTATAATGTAAAATTTGATTGGCTAGAAGCATTATTTTGGATTGATTCAAACCAATTCCCTTAATGCTTTAAACTGCTTCATTCTGGTCATATTATTTGTTTTATAAGGTAACATGCATTTTTTCAAAAGGAAAAAATTATTACACAAATTACTAAATTAAAATGACTATATTTGACAAATATGCCCCTATTAGAAGAGTTAAAATATATTTGCACATATTTGGTCACTAAATGTAAGGCATTACTAAAAATAAAAAAAATAATTTCTTAATTCTTTTAGTAAAAATTATTTTAAAACGTTCACAGTGATTGATAATTTAAGACAAAGGAGTAAGATCTTTATTACCTCCAACATAAAATCCCACTCCTTTACATTTGGAAAACTCCATGTAATGAAGCAAATAGTTCCTTTAACTTTTCTATCTTTTTTACATGTTAGAATGATTTTCAATACACTTAGCTCCTATCTCAATGGTGTCATGTCCAACAAGGATGGTTTGCAGTACCCATTATAAAGAAAATCAGACTATTGGCTCCACCAATTACATACCAACCACACCATGGCTGAGAATAGGTCTATGCCAATTCACTTTATTGAAAGGTCAGAACAAGATATATTGAATTAATGTTATTTTTTTAAAACTTATATAAAAAACATAGCATGATGGAAATAGATATGATTTAACTAATGATTATACCAATCAAAATAGAGTTAATAAAGTAGGTGTGGCATGTTGAATCAACGTATTTGTCAGTTAGTCGATCAATTCTCCTAACTCATCTCATATAATTTGTGAGTTGAAAAGAGATATTATAGGTTAAATTATTATGTTGGGCCATTCTTTAGCTTTGATTCATAGTATTTTTCAATTATTACTTTTATTCACTCTTTTATTTGTCATTACATTCACTTCTTTAATTTATATTTTTCTATTTAATTATTTAAACGATTTGACCTATCAATATGTCATAAAATAAGATGCAATAACATTCTCAACTCACCTTTTAAAACACAAATTAGTTTATTATTTTCTATATTTTGACAATACGATAATAAATAAACTCGTTTTGTGCTATTAATTCTATAATGAGTAAAATAAATACTTAAGCTATGAGCCTCTCTTCCATGACAAACTAATTCTTTGAAAATCAATGTCTAGCTAATTTAATTTAAAATATCGAGTGAAATAGGAACTAGAAGTGACATGGGATAGGTGTGAGAAAATGTAATACATCCATATTTGGTTTATTTTGTTTTATATATTTTAAAACCTACATCCGTAAAAAAAATTAAAATACTAGAAAATAGTTTACATAATTGACAACTTAAAAAATCCTGCTTGGTTTATTTTTTATTTTATTTGGTATATAAGTTGATACAGTTAGAAACAAAATAATTTTAAACAAAATAAAAATTATTTGAAGGTTAAAATCGGAAATGATAACTTATCATAAGTGTTTAAGTATTTAAGATCTATTTTATACAATGATAGAAAAATTAACGAAGATATTACACATAAAAAAATAATTTGGATGACTAAAATGAAAAAATAATAAGAATTGTTTATAACTACAAAATACCTATTAAGTTTAAAGAAATATTTTTATTGAATTCTAATACTTTTATTTATATTCTATTATAGTTAATGTAGGAGTTTAAGGGTATAAGAGGGAGAAAATTAGAGTAAAATAAATAATAATGTTAAAATGGACATGTTACCACATGATAAAAGACAAGAAAAAAATATTGTATATAAGGAAAGATTGAGATAGCACCTATCAAGGACAAAATGATAGAAAATTAATTAAGATGATTTGGATATGTACAAAAATTAATACTCACCAATAAAAAATAATTAATTATATATATTGAAAATAAAGACAAGCATATGAACAAATAAATATTTTTGTAGGGTTGCATATAAAACAAGAGATCTAAGTCAAATTAGAAAAATGTGCAATTAAAATCAAATTATATTTTAAATGTAAGCTAATTACAGGAATTATAATGAAATGTTAATATGATAATTAATATTAATTACATCAATATGGAATTCTCTTCAAACTCAAGTAGGTGTGGAGAAACTAACTTGATTTGAAAAGTAAACTTTCAAAGTATTTTGGCATAAAAGAGTAGTAAATTGGTTCATTAATGATAAATAGCAGCAAAAGTAATGTGTTGTAAAATAAAGTGATGTGTTTGGTGTATTTATATTCATAATTCTCACAATTTGAATGATACTCTAATTATCACAATGCAAATCAATAGGACTCAAGTCTTAAACCAACTAATAAGTCATAATAGTTGAGACCTACTTTGAAAATAAGATCTAATACATATTTAGCTTGGCATAGAAAGTGGTCATTTATTGAGGAGAGAATCACCACTTACAAATTAGTTGAGTAACCACAATCTTTCACCCTAAATTGATGGCTCAAGAAAGTGTAAGAACAAAGATCATTATCATGTCATCACCTGTAATGATAATGTTGTCAACATAAAGAAGCAAAAATGTAGTACCTTTATCCAATGAATTAAGGCTAAATCAGGATAGAACTGTCAAATAGATTAGTTCTATCTAATTTAGTCCTAATCCATGTGAGTCATCAAGCTTAAAAGGTAAAAAAGTCCACTATATAAAAAAATCCATTAGAGCTAAAAGGGTCATAAAATTAAGTGGGTTAGAGTTAATTCTTAAAAAAAAAATAAGATCACTTTTTGATACAATAATTATATACTACCTTATGGGATAGTTCATTAAAAATATTTATTTCATATAATATATTTTTAATCAACTTATAGATAAATTAAATTGCTGAAAAAATAGATGAAGAAATATTAAATTTATATAGTATTAAATATTAATATAAAATAAAACGATAATTTATATAAAATTAATTGTGTTACACATTTTTCTAATTTGTATCTATATTATTAATAATTATTAAATTATAATAATAAATTTTATCTATT